CTGTTTCAATGCATCAACCTCATGTTCGAAGGAGTTCGTTTGCTTTGCATTGCTTCCATTTTTTTCTGTTTGAAGAGCATGTTGTGGTAGACCTACAGGAGTGCACGGACTGTCTGTCCTTGCTCACGACAGCGCTGAGACCCCCATTTATCGATCAGGGAAACGACTACAACATTGAGGAACCTCAAGATTGATTCTCTCGGCGAATTCACGTAACTTGCGCAGGATGTGCCTTGCATGTGCGGAACACCCGACGTTTCTTTTGCGCAGTCCCGACGGACACATTCTTTTGGGTGCGCATCAATTCTGCACTTGATCCCCTGTTCAGCGGGCCCCGCTCTTCGATGCAACTCCTGGGAGTTTATATGATGAGTTTGCCTTGGTCCGAAATCCGGTTTAGTCTGGCTTCCCGCTTCATCCGGCCTAATCACGCTTATAATTCCGCTCAATCCTGCTTACTCCCGCTGATCCGCGGCCTAATCTGGTGCAAAAGCCACCTAATGGGAGTTTACCCTCCTCAGTCCTTCCGACGAAGACCCCCCAGTAGCGACCTTCTAGCTGGCTCCTGGCCTCTTGTCGGCGGCGGGCGAGGTGGGGAATTGATAAGGCGCGGGCCTCCTCAGAAGGCTCGGAGGCCTTCTGAGAAGCCCCGCCGCCTCCTGAGAAGGCCTTCTCCTTCTCACTCCCCCCCCTCGCTCCTCCTCCTCCTCCTCCTCCTCCTCCTTCTCGCTCCTCCTCCTCTTCCTCCTCCTCCTCCTCCTCCTCCTCGCTCCTCATCCTCCTCCTCCTCCTTCTCGCTCCTCCTCCTCCTGCTCCTCCTCCTGCTCCGCCTCCTCCTCCTCGTGGAGCCTCCTCCTCCTCCTCCTGCTCCTGCTCCTCCTCCTGCTCCTCCTGCTCCTCCTCCTCCTCCTCCTCGTGGAGCCTCCTCCCAACCCCGGCCCGCTCCCGCGCGCGCGCGCAGGACGACGCCGCAGACGCCGGCGCCGCCGGCGACGCCGGCGAGTGGTACGACTGCCAGGAGGGCGTGGACAACTGGCTGGAGGACGGGCGGCCCCACAGCGCGGCACGGGCGCGCCGCCTTCCCGGGCTCCTGCCCTGCCCCACGCCTCCCGCGTTCCTCGTCCCTCCCTCCCTCCTCCTGCTGCTGCTGCTCCTCCTCCTGCTTCTCCTGCCTCTCCTCCTCATCCTCCTTGTCCTCTTCCTCCCTCTTCCTCCTCCCCCTCCTCCTCCTCCCCCTCCTCTTCCCTCTCCTCCTCCTCCTCCTCCTCCTCCTCCTCCCTCCTCCTCTCCTCTCCCTCTCCTCCTCCTCCTCCTCCTCCTCCTCCTCTCCTCTCTCCTCTCCCTCCTCTCTTCCTCCTCCTCCTCCTCCTCCCTCCCTCCTCCTCCTCCTCCTCTTCCTCTTCCTCTTCCTCTTCCTCCTCCTCCTCCTCCCTCGCTCCTCGTCCCTCACTCCTCCCCTCGTCGTCCTCCCCCCTCGTCCCTCCCACGTCCCTCCCTCGTCCCCCTGGCTCCCCCCTCCCCCTCCTCCTGCTTTCCTCGGCCCTCATCTCCCCTCCTCCCACGACTCCCCAGCGCCCGTCGAAGGCAGCAAGGCTTATGATGTGCCAACCTGTTTCGATACGTTTCCAGGTGCTCAACGTTATTTCTGGGATGTGGTCCTTGAGTGCGATGGGAGCAACATAAAGCAATGCACGAGCTTTGTCTCGCTGATTGCCTCCAGGCGTTCGGCTTGAGCGAGGATGAGGCTCGAGGTCTGGGCAGCCGTCTCGAGGAGAGGGAGCCCTGCCCGACCTTTCCCCCGGGGGGGGGGGGGCCTGTCAATGGCCCACGGTGCGGTAGGCTCAGGGCCGCATTGCGGAGTCCAAACGGTTCTCTCCGATGGGCCCCCCCCTTTCCCGTGGGGTTTTCGGCGGGGCCGTCGGACCTCTCCCTCCCCTCTCTCTCCATTACATCGTGGCGTGCGATCTTCTCCTCCTCCTCCCTCCCCAGGGGCTCCTCGCGCGGCGAAGCGGGGAGACGGAGGCTCCATAGGCTGCAGCAAGCCGTGCCCCGCCCCTCCGCTCCTCTGGGGGCGGGGGCCCCGGCGGACCGCTGGGAAGCTGCCCGGGGGCGAGCACGCCGGCCCCGGGGAAGGGGGCCAGGCCTCGGGGGCCCCCAAACGGGGCGGTGACCACGCCGCGCGGTGAGTCGGTGGGGGGTTCGGGGTCACCGCACGGTTTTGGGACTCGGGTCCCTCTCCGAGGACGTCTCGGGCGACAGGGGCCTCCATGGGGTCCCAAGACCGTGCGGTGACGGACCGTGCGGTGAGGCCTCTCAGGGTTCCGAGGTCACCGCACGGTCTGTCACCGCACCGTTCCGGGACTCCAAAGTCAGCCAAGTCGGGACCTCAGGGGTTCCACGTCAGCCGAGTGGGGGGCGGCAAAGCGGGGGTGGTGACTAGGGGGGTGGATATCATGGCGTGGGCCATGATATTTCCGCAGATGTCATGGCGCCTCCTCTTGTTTCATTGCGTCCCTGGCCCCCCCCGCTGGGCCGCGCGCATGCCGCCGGTCATGATTTGCACCCCCCCTCTTGGACACCCCCCTCTTGGCCGCCCCGAAAGGGGGCCAGCCCTCAGGGGTTCCACGTCAGCCAAGACAACAATGTTGGAGTTCGGTTGTCCTCCTGTGCAGGCTTCTTGTGGGGGTCCTCCCCAGGCAAAGGGTGTCTTCCTTCGCCAGATCCTCCTCGAAGGAGTTTCTAGTGGCAGCCCGCCCGCCCGTCATCCTGGAAGCCTGGTCCGTCATCCTCTCCCTTCCTCCCTCTCTCTCCCTCCTCCGCCGGCTCGTCCACGCCGCCCTCCATCCCCCGTCCATTCTCTCCGTCCTCGTCCCTTCGCCGGTGCAGTCTGTGAAATCTGCTCTCCGCCGCTGCACATCCGAGCTGGGCGCTGGAGGGGCGTGTCGGGGTTCTCGCTCGGGCGGGCGCCTCGAGGGTGCCGCGTGCGCTGTGCGCGCGTGTATATGTATATGTATATATATATATACATACATACACGCGCGTGTCCTCTTCGTGACCCTCGTGTCGTGTCCCCCTCTCGTCGTTCCTCTTCGTGTCCCTCGTCTTTCTCGCCTTTCCTGGCCTCGTGGCCGGTCCGCTTGTCGTCCTCGTCGTCGTCGTCTCGTTTTCCTCCACCCCACGTTCTCGCCGACTTGCCTTGGTTGTGCCGGCTTCGGTGCGACGCTGTAGCATCGAGGGGCCCCCTTCCCATCAGTTGGGAAGCTGGCGATTTCTTGTTTCAAGTGTTATATATATATATATATATATATATATATATATATATATATATGTGTGTGTGCGTGTGTGTGTGTGCCGGGTGTTCGCCCGGGTGCCCGCCAGGGGCCCCTCGTGGTCCCTCCGTGGCCGCCCCCCGCGCTGGGCGCGGTGATCCTTCCCCCCCTGCTGCTGTGCCCCCCCTCTCCCTTGGCCACTGGGCGACCTCTCGCGCAGGAAAGTACTCCAGATTTCGTAATAAAGGGAGGGGGGTCCCATTTCGGGGGGGGCTCTTCCAGGCTATCTTGGAGGGCCTGGGGGGGTCTGGGGACGATGTTTTGGAGGGTTCTCCCACGGGGGAGGTCTGAAATAGCTTGTCTTGGAGGGTCCAGACCCCCTCCCTTGTATTACGAAATCTGGAGTAACAAGAGCGTGCTGCGGGACTCCGCCTTCTTCAGCCGCCCGTCGGCGCCGCGTGGCCAGCCCGTGCGCTGGGTGGGTGCGGCGGGTGTTCGCCGGGTGCCCGGTCGGGGGCGCCCCCACGCAGCTTGCACCGCATAGGTTGCTTCACGCAGAGTGCACCACACAGAGTGCACCTCAGAGGAGGAAAAGGTACCCCATACCTCTACCCTTCCCCTTTTTGGGGCCTCCTGCGGGGCCCTCGTCGCCACCACTGGATTCGCCTCGAAGTTCTGGTCAGAACGCACCCTGGGAGAGGTCTGGGGAGTAGCGGTATCGGTACCTCTTGATTTCCCCAGCACCACGTCAGCTTGCTTTACATGGGTTTCACCGGTTCGATCGCGCCACACACATCACACCACATGCAGTGTGATATCAAACACCTCCAGGGTGCAAGGATGCACAGCGTGGGGTCCATGCTGGCAAAGCTGTGGTAAGCTTCTTTTGCGAGTTTCGCATGCTCGTGTTTTCGGCTCGGAGTTCCAGGAACAACGCAAGAGACGTCGGACATCGCCCCCACGCAGCCCTACAGAGCCCCAGCGAAGGGCTCGAGACGGTTTCAGAGCGGTGCAAGGCGGCCCAGGAGGGCCCACAGCGCAGGAGGGTCACCGAACGGTCCACGGTGGGCCCGGGGGGGGGGATCCGAGACGACCGCCAGGGATCCCCAGGAGACCCAGGGTCAAGTCGGGCGCGCCCCCCTACAGGAGGAAAATTCCAACACGGTAGGAGGACGTGCCCGACCTAAAACCAGGGGGGGGGGGCTTCGCAGCCAGCCTGGCCCACGAGCGAGCTGCGGGCGCCCAAGGCCGCGGGCCCCCGCCGCGCCCTTTGCGCGCCCGAGGCCCAGCGCCTCCGCATATGCTGGGGCGCCTCCTGGCCACAGGTGCGCGGCCGGGCCCGCTCAGGCTCGGCACCCGCGCCTTCGCGCCCGCGGTGGTCCACAAGGACCCCAACCTGCTGAGCGGCGCCGAGCGAGGCGCGCTGGAGCGCATCGGCGAGGACGCGGAGCTGCAGGGCCTCTCCCGGAGCTCCGCCGCCAGCGTGGTGCGCGGGGAGCCGCCGGAGGGCGCCGTGGTCGTGAGGAGCCACAACGGCCCGGCGCCCCACGCCGGGTCCAACTTCCCCGTGCAAGCGTACGCCGCCCACCCGCACAACTTCACACCGCTGCGGCCCGTGGCACATGGCTTCTCGGCGTTGGACAGGGCAGTCCGCGACACCGCCTGGGAGTCTCGATTCGACCTGCTCGAGCGCCGCATCCAGCCCACCTATTGCGGCGAGTGCCGCGGCACGCCACGGCGAGAGCTGCAGGACGGCATGGTGGCCGGCATCCGCGTTCGCCCAGTGCAGAACCCGTACGCGAAGCTGACGAGGGCGCAGAAGTACCGCCTGAACACGTGGCCGTCGCGCAACTGGACCGCCTGGACCCCACACCGCTGCAACGTGAGGGGCAGCAGGAGGAGGTACCGGGTGCCTGAAGACATCAACCCGTACAGAGACGAGCTCGGTGAGTGGCACCCACCCCGCGTATCGGGCCGCTACAAGGCTGGGGGAACGAAGGATGGCATAAGCATCAAGACTCGGAGGTCCGCGCGCATTTCTCAGATCGGCGCTGGACCCCCCTTCCCTGGCGCGCTCCGCGCGCCAGGGGCGGAGCCGGAGGCGCCGCCAGGGGGCTCCAGCGCCGATCCGAGAAATCCGCGCGTACCTCTGAGTTTTTAGGTTTATTCGGAGGCTGATAGACCTCCTACCCTGACACGTCGATTAGCGAAATGGTCGTTTTCGGTTCGCGAGAGGGCGGCGCGGCCGTCATTCTTGCGGGTCCAGGTCAATCGATTTCGTTCTTAGGCCGTTTTCACTAAGGACGGTGTACTATAGGGAGCATTGTCCACCGCCGATGTATGTCTTTTCTTCGTCCCCCTAAAGGCAGACATCGAGAAGCAGTTCTACATGAACAGCCTGCCCTGGGTCTGGCAGAACGACTACTACCTCGGGAAGCAGCACTTCATGGACCGAGAGCCGCGGGGCCCCAAGAGGTGGCAGGGCTGGACTGGAGGGTTTCTCCGAGGGTCTTAGACGACGCGTCCTCCTCCTGCTGCTGCTGCTCCCTCTCCTCCTCCTCCTCCTCCTCCTCCTCCTCCTCCTCCTCCTCCTCCTCCTCCTCCCTCTTCTCCTCCTCCTCCTCCTCCTCCTCCTCTCCTCCTCCTCCTCCTCCTCCTCCTCCCTCTCCTCCTCCTCCTCCTCCTCCTCCTCCTCCTCCTCCCCCCCTCCTCCCTCCCCCTCATCCACCTCCTCCTCCTCCTCCTCCTCCTCCTCCTCCTCCTCCTCGGGTCGCCTACGGCCCGGGGGGAAACCGTGCAGGCTGGACCTGAACGCTGTTCTGCTGGACTTCGGCTGTGTCTTGTTTTTGTTCCGTCACGGCAGGGAGGTGCAGGAAAACAGGTCGAGCAAGACGAAGAACACAACGAGACAAACATGAAGTCAAGCAATGTGTTTAGCTTCGGCCCCGAGAGGTGGTACAAGAGGGAGTTCCGGAGGGCGCAGGTCGCAGAGGCGCTGCGGCGGGCTGACACCATGGTTGAGGAGTACAAGAAGGAGACCATTATTTGCAGTTCAGTCGGGCATGTGCCTCTACAGGAGGAAGATTCAAACATAATCAAAAAATAGTCTGGGGATCATTTTCTGACAAATTGTTGTTGTGTATTTTTTAGATTGTTTTCTTTTTCGTCGAAATTCCGCCTGAAGGTGGACATGCCCGACCTAACTTTACAGTCAACCCGCATAGTTAGGATGCGCGACTTCCAAGGATGAAGTTCTCTCGCGTACTTCCCCATTCGCGGCCCATCCTTGACCGCTTTCGCTGGCCGCGCCCCGCTCGCAGAGTGTGGACCAAGCCCCTTGCATCCGTATCGTGCGTCAAGGCTGGACCTAACCCGTGGTTTGGCGATGGCGTTTCGTTTTCGTGAAACAGACTCGGTTTCGTTTTGCGGTTAGAGCGGACTGAAGATGAAACGAGGGAACACGAGAACAACACGAAAACGAAAGACGCCGTTGAGGTTCAGCCCTGCCGTGCGCCCTTCTTCTGCGGGTGGACTGCATCCTCTGGCAACAACTTGCGTGTCCACGGGGAGGCTTGGCATCGCTCGGACGTGTGCATTTTTCCTTCGGCGAGAACTATCGAGGACCATCCTGGACCATCGAGCAACAAAAACACGCACGAAACCGAAAAATGCACGGGAAGTGGACGTCCGAGGACGTCCGAGCCGGCGCACGGCGCCCGCGCGAGTCGGGGGGGGGGGAGGGGCGGGGGGAGCGGGCGAGGCCGGTCACGGGCGTTGCCGCGAGTCGTGTTGAAGCATCTGCTCAAGAGGAGGAGGAGGAGGAAAAGGAGGGGAAGGAGTAGAAGGGGGAGGAGGAGGAGAAGGGGGAGGAGGAGGAGGAGGAGGAGGAGGAGGAGGAGGAGGAGGAGGAGGAGGAGGAGGAGGATCATCGGAGGTGGACAGACCTCCTACCTTGACACGTCGATCAGCGAAGTGGCCGTTTTCGGTTCGCGAGAGGGCGGCGCGGCCGTCGTTTTTGCGGGTCCAGGTCTGTCGGTTTCGGTCGTAGGCCGTTTTCGTTAAAGGGTGGTTTACGAAAGGGAGGTTTGTCCACCGCCGGATATAAAAACATTTGCTCAAGGAGCGACGCGAGAAGAAGCGGCTGTCGTGGGTGGAGCAGGTCGTGCTGGAGTTTTGTGGCGAGCAGGCGTCGTTGCCCTACGTGCGCGAGAGGCGGATTCCCAAGATGTGAGCCAGCGCCGACTGGCCGGGTGGAGCGTGTCTCGGCCTTGTTCGCTGCCGTGCGAGGCTTTGTTCTTCGGTAGCAAATCAAGTGGCCTGTGTATGTCCCCATAGGTTCCGTCGTTAGGAAGCATTAGCGTCGACTAGTGATTAGCAGTCGATGAGGAAGCGCCGAGTTAGCTTTGTAGCGTCGTCTAGTGTCGGCTAGCGTCGATCTACAGGGTCCAGCAAGATGGCATTGGAGGAGGGGGGCCTTCCATAGAAGTTGTACCAGGGCGGGGAGGGAGGGCGACCAAGACGGAACCGCGTATACGTCTTGGTGTGAAGATCTGTCGATCAACGTTTGAGTGCCCCTCCTCCTCTCCTCCTCCTCCTCATCCTCCTCCTTCTCCCTCCTCCTCATCACTCTCAGATCCTCCCCTCTCCTCCCTCCGGATTCCCCATTCTTGGCATGCACTTGAAAGGGACTATATATGTTTTCGGGTGCACGATGCACGCAGATCTGCGGGCTGGGTTGCGGGATTGGCTGGGCGTGGTTTCCAGTTTTGACGTGTGCCCGCGGGCGTTGGCACTGGGCTCTTGTTTTGCCGATCGGCCGTGCGATGCACGTCGGTGTTCTGCCTCGGGTTCCGTCTTCAGGCTCGGTCCTGCGTGACCGTCGGTGTGCTGTCCTGGCATTGAAGCGAAGTGTCGAACAACGGCCTTGGTTTTGTGCTGGGGGGGCGGGGTGGTCACGTGGGTTCTGCGGGTGATGAGTTGGATGCCAGTGACGAGGATGAGGAGGAGCAGCAGGAAGAGGAAGGCTCTTACATGTGACGCCTTTTTCGATTCCATTTTTCGAGTAGCTCCCACCGAGCTCCTTAAAGCCGCCTTGTGGCTCAGTGGGGCAGTCTTGCGGACCCCAGTGGGGCCCTCTTGTGGGCCGTTCTGGGGCCCTCTTGGGCCGTCTTGGGGGGCTTCTTACGCAGGACGCAGGATTTTCTGCTTGACGTCGAAGAGGACCCCCCCCGTCCCCCGTAGAATCTTGACACGGGGGGTCCTGCGGTCGACGGATCCCATTCTTGTCGGTTCCCGCGGCGAGCTTAATCTTATAAAATCAAAGCGGGGTAGAAATGGGACCCGCCGTAAAAAATAGGGTCCGACGCGGATCCCGTAAAATTCAGAAATGGGATCCGCGTGCTTGGAAATGGGATCCGCCGCGATTTCACGGTTACGGTACCGTTGGAAATCGGATCCGTGCGACCCTCATTGGGTTCGCCGACATGATTTTTCAGAGGGCCCGTGGACCGCGTGGGACCGTGAGGTCAGCGCCAAGAGAAACAACTTTCGGCCTGGAGTGTAGGGCGGTCTCGGGCCCCCCCCTTGCCGTCTGGGGGCTGCCTTGGGGCCTCCGAGGTGGAGGAAGAGGAGGAGGAGGAGGAGGAGGAGGAGGAGGAGGGAGGAGGAGGAGGAGGAGGAGAGTGGAGGAGGAGAGGAGGAGGAGGAGGAGGAGGAGGAGGAGGAGGAGGAGAGAGGGGAGAGGAGGAGGAGGAGGAGGAGGAGGAGGAGGAGGAGGAGCAGCAGGAGGAGGAGGAGGAGGAGTTTTAAACCCGCGTGCTCGCGCCCACGAGTGAGTGCCCCTTGTCTCGGCACCTCAGCCGAGCGCGCGGCGGCGCGCCCGAGGCGAGGTGGGCCAGCGGCCTCAGCACGCGCCGCTTTTCTCTGGGGGAACCTACGGCGGGCCTTGCCGCCCCCAGCAGAAAAATACAGATGCAAAGTCTTACGCCAGCTCACAGCTCAGCCACGGACGTTCCTCTGGCCGCCTCAGGTCGGCGCCCTTGCGCCGAGCGATGCCGCCACCTCCGCCCAAGGAGGAGGAGGAGGGAGGAGGAGGGAGGAGGAGGGAGGAGGAGGGAGGAGGGAGGAGGAGGAGGGAGGAGGGAGGAGGAAGGAGAGAGGAGGGAGGAGGGAGGAGGGAGGGGGGCCCGTCGTGGGGTCGTCCGGGCCGTCGGGGGGCCTGCACTCCCCGCGGGCGCCGCCGACCAAAAAGTGTGTGTGTGTGTGTGTGTGTATGTGTGTGTGTGTGTGCACCGCCGCGGGCGGGCGGGCACAGGCGAGCGCGCGCGCGGCCGCGCGCCCCGACCGAAGGTTGAAGCGGGCAGTCGTGGAGTGTGCGTGTGTGTGCGTGTGCACCCCCGGGCTCCGCCCGCTCCGGCCGCCTGAGGCCCCGCCTTCCTGTGCCCTGTCTCCCTAATGAAAGCTGTGCGTAGCCCGCCTAGCTTTTAGCGGAAGAGGTTCGCTCTCGCCCCGCCGACCAAAAAGTGTGTGTGTGAGAGTGTGCGTGTGTGGTCTGCACGACATACATGGGTACGGAAAGAATTGGTACAGTGCCCAACAGCAGTTCCTGCTCATTTAGGAAAGGACCCGCTGTCCGCGCCGCCGCGGCCTGTGCGCATTTGAGACGGAATGCCGCCCGCCCAACAGCGGCCGCTGTTGATTTGGGACAACATCTGTTGTTGGGCATTGTACCCATGTTTTCGGTACCCATTTCAAGCGTCCAACTGTGTGTGTGTGTGCGTGTGTGTGTGTGTGTGTTTGCATGTTCCAGGAAGACATGTGTTTCTCCATGTCTGGGCTACGTAGCCCGAAGGAGAATCAGCTGCGTGAGCAGGATTCCCCCCGTGCAGTCGTGTTTTTCTTCCTTGTCCTGCCGATCGGCGCGGACCCTCGCTCGCAGCCCCCCCCCTCCCGCCCCCTGTGGAGTGGATCTTGGCTGTTCTCGGGCACCTGCTCCGAGCCGGGCGGGGCCCCTCCCCCACGGGACGCGCTGCTGCAAGCAGTCGCACCAAGCAGAGGTCCTGAGCCAAACTTCCCCCCCTTCTGCCCAGCGCCGAGACGCCGAGATTGTTCGTGTTAAATATTCTTAGGCTTACGCCACACCGCCGACCCCTTGTTTATGCCAATCTGGGGGTAGTAGAAGCTGCGAAGGGGTGAAAAGGCGAGTGATATTTGTTTGGTGTCTGTTCGCCGCCACCGCCAGAGGGTCTCGGGCAGTTCCGCGGGGAGGTCCGAGCGGACGGCGACACCGCGAGTTTTGGAGCCACTCGGGGGCCGTTTCGGAGCCTTTGGGGTGCTTCTTGGTGGTTCCTTGGGGCGTCTGGGCGGCCTCGTGAGGGCCTCTGGGGGCCTCTTGGGGCACTCTTGTGGCCCCCTGGGGCTCCTGGGGGCAGAACACTAGAGTTTCAACATGTTTGGTCGCCCTCTTGGGCCCCTATTGGTGCCGTCTTGGAGCCTTCTTGGGCCGTCTTGGGGACCTCTTGGGCCGTGTTGGGGCCGTCTTGGGCCGTCTGGAGGCCGTCCTGGGGGACTCTTGGGCCATCTTGGGGCTATCTTTGGGGCCTCTTTGCCTGTTTTGGAGCGTCGGGAAGCCGAAAAGGCGGAAAAGCAAAAAACATCGAGAAACACCATGGAAAATCAACAATTGTAGACTCTTGGGGCCCTCTTGGGAAGCTCATTTGGGACCTCAAGGCTGTCTTGGAGACCTCTTGGCCCGTCTTGGGGCCATCGTGGGCGTCTTGGAGCGGTCGTTTGGCGTCTCGGAGCCTTCGTGGGCCGTCTTGGAGGCCTCTTGGGGGCTTCGTGGCCCGTCTTGAGGCCCTCTTGGGCCAGGAAAAGCCTCGTGGATCGCTCGTCCCGGACCCCTCCCCACCTCCAAATCGGCTCTCTTGGGCCGTCTTGGGGACCTCTTGGGCCGTCTTGGGGCCGTCTTGGGCTGTCTGGAGGCCGTCTTGGGGGACTCTTGGGCCATCTTGGGGCTATCTTTGGGGCCTCTTCGCGCGTCTTGGAGCGTCGGGAAGCCGAAAAGGCGGAAAAGCAAAAAACATCGAAAACACCATGGAAAATCAGCAATTTTAGACTCTTTGGGCCTTCTTGGGAAGCTCATTTGGGACCTCAAGGCCGTCTTGGAGACCTCTTGGCCCGTCTTGGGGCCATCGTGGGCGTCTTGGAGCGGTCGTTTGGCGTCTCGGAGCCTTCGTGGGCCGTCTTGGAGGCCTCTTGGGGGCTTCGTGGCCCGTCTTGAGGCCCTCTTGGGCCAGGAAAAGCTCCGTGGATCGCTCGTCCCGGACCCCCCCCCCCTCCAAATCGGCCCTCTTGGGCCGTCTTGGGGACCTCTTGGGCCGTCTTGGGGCCGTCTTGGGCCGTCTGGAGGCCGTCTTGGGGGAGTCTTGGGCCATCTTGGGGCTATCTTTGGGGCCTCTTCGCGCGTCTTGGAGCGTCGGGAAGCCGGAAAGGCGGAAAAGCAAAAAACATCAAAAACACTCTGGAAAATCAGCAATTTTAGACTCTTTGGGCCTTCTTGGGAAGCTCATTTGGGACCTCAAGGCCGTCTTGGAGACCTCTTGGACCGTCTTGGGGCCATCGTGGGCGTTTTTGGAGCGGTCGTTTGGCGTCTCGGAGCCTTCGTGGGCCGTCTTGGAAGCCTCTTGGGGGCTTCGTGGCCCGTCTTGAGGCCCTCTTGGGCCAGGAAAAGCCCCGTGGATCGCTCGTCCCGGACCCCCCCCCCTTCAAGTCGGCCCTCTTGGGCCGTCTTGGGGACCTCTTGGGCCGTCTTGGGGCCGTCTTGGGCCGTCTGGAGGCCGTCTTGGGGGACTCTTGGGCCATCTTGCAGCTATCTTTGGGGCCTCGTCGCGCGTCTTGGAGCGTCGGGAAGCCGGAAAGGCGGAAAAGCAAAAAACATCAAAAAACACTTTGGAAAATCAGCAATTTTAGACTCTTTGGGCCCTCTTGGGAAGCTCATTTGGGACCTCAAGCCGTCTTGGAGACCTCTTGGCCCGTCTTGGGGCCATCGTGGGCGTCTTGGAGCGGTCGTTTGGCGTCTCGGAGCCTTCGTGGGCCGTCTAGGAAGCCTCTTGGGGGCTTCGTGGCCCGTCTTGAGGCCTTCTTGGGCCAGGAAAAGCCCCGTGGATCGCTCGTCCCGGACCCCCCCCCCCCCCCTCCAAATCGACCGGACCAGGCTCCCGGGGGAGGGGT